GGGTGGACTTGGACATGGAGGTGGGGGGCCCAGGAGAGCTCTGAGTCCAGGACAGGAGGGGACGCAGGATCCACGATCAGGATTTTGGGGAGTGGAGCAGAGAGGATGAGTTTGGCGGAGGCGAAGGGGCCAGCAGCACATCTGTACGGCAGCTCCCAAGTGACAGTTGAGAGTTTGGGCAAAACTCTCCAGATAAAGGCCAGGATCGGAAGCAGCACCAGAATCCAGGGTCCCCTGCGTGCGTGTGGGAACGGGCCAGGCGCTCAGGGCGGGGGACGCAGAGCAGGGATGGCGACCCAGGGCTTGCAGAGAGCTGGTGTGAGGCTCTGTGGGCCTGAGGCAGAGCCCCCTGGGCCACAGCCAGGCTCCTTCCTTTTACGACCTGTGCTGAGCTCTGCACCCAGACCCCTCGGATGACAGAGGTGGCCAAAGCCCCTCTTTGGCCATTGTCTAGCCAAGATAGGAGCCCTCCCAAGTCACAGGCAGACAGACCAGGGACGTCCCCAGGAACTGCTGGGCCTGCTTTTCCCCGCCCCCCCCCCCCGCACAGTGTCACCAGCCACAAGTGGCTGTCACGGGGTTTCCTTCTGCACCGCTCACAGCAGGGAGTTACTATGGCTAATTCCGAAAGTAGCCAGAGTCACAAAGGAGAAGTCAAAGAATTCCTTTTGAAATCAGAAGCCTCCTCTGTCCCAGGGGTGCATTTCCAGCCAAGGAAAGGGATTCACTTGGACTGACGGGGATGGATGGCGGCTGCGTGTGGGTGTTGCCCTCAGTGAGGGGGGACCTCGGCCAGCACGGCGCCCAGTCTCATTTGCGTTTCATATGAATTTCTGACTTGGTCACACAATGAAGTTAAACTTCTAATCCCATCGGCATCAAGGTTCATCAAGTCGTTAGATCACCCTGATCATAAGATGGCAGCTGCTTTCTGTGGCTGGTGCTCTGGACCTTGGCAACACCTGAAGCCGCGGGGCTCGGTGTTGAAGGCGGCTACAGCTCTCCCTTTCTCTCCTCCCAGGTTGCATCGGAGGGCCCAAGGGATCGCCAGGCCTGCCGGGCCCCCCAGGCGCCCCAGGTAAGGAAGGGCACCTCCAGCCTCTCTCTGCGCGTCTGCACCACCCCCTCCCCTCTGCTGGCCTTCCTCCGCCCCACGTGGCCCCGCTCGGACGTCGCTGTGTTCTCAGTACCCCACTGCACATTGGCAGCTTCCTTAGGAAGCCGACTTCCTCTCGTCTCTAGGAAAGTCAGTGGCGACTGAACCCCAGGCTAAGAGAGAGGGTCCCTGCCACACAGAACTCAAGCCTCAGCTCCAGCCCGACCTGGTGGCCAGAGACAGAGGCGCCCCTTTAAGGCTGGGACAGAACAGCTAGCTCTGTGCTTTTATCCCTTTGTGTCCCAGGGTTATGGGAAGAGGATCGACGCTGGGGGATTATTTCTTTGGGGTTTTGAGTGAGACGACAACAGATCATCAGGGCTGGGGTTTGTCCACACAATCGTGGGGGAGACGGACACTTGGTTTCCCAGGTAGACGGACTCTTAGTTGCTGGTGTAGACGGACACTTAGTTTCCTGGGTAGACGACTACTTAGTTGCTGGTGTAGACGGACACTTGTTTCCCTGGTAGACGACACTTAGTTGCTGGTGTAGACGGACACTTGGTTTCCCGGGTAGACGACACTTAGTTGCTGGTGTAGACGGACACTTGTATCCCGGGTAGACGACACTTAGTTGCTGGTGTAGACAGACACTTAGTTTCCGGTGCAGACTGACCCTTGGCCGAGCTGGTCGTCCCTTGGCTGTCACAGGTCCTGTTTCAGAGTTGACGTCCCCCAGCCTCCTCACTTCCTGGTTTCATAGACGCCGTGTTAAGTCAGGCGCGGACTTGACCCTCTGCTGCTCGCGTCCTGCTGGGCTTGCCTCGTGGGGCTCTGACCGTGTCTTGGTTTTGGGCTGTTTAGGTGTCAAAGGCCTCAGAGGGATTCCAGGATTGTCCGGAGCTGACGGATCACCAGGGCTCAAGGGTCTCCCGGGAGACCCGGGCCGGGAGGGATTCCCAGGACCCCCAGGTGAGTCGGGGTGGGACACCCCTGGCCCCCTAGATTCGGGAGGTGACTGTGTGATCGGGGTGCCCAGCACTAGTGCCGTTTAACGCTTAGAAACTGTTTCGACAAACGCTCGGTGACAGCTTCTGTTCTCGCCCTTGGGAAATTAAAGAACGACCTCTTCATCACTGACGTCGTGCCAGCAGAAGAAACTTACAGATCTTGCAGGACAAGGGGACGGGGCGCAGAGGGGTTTTGCCCTGGTCGGTATGGAACATTCTAAGGGCGCACGATGTCGCCCTCTCCTGGTCTTGTCGTTATGGCTCATCGTCCAGTCCTGGCCTGCTGCTCGCACACCTAGCGCCACACAGAGCACCTGTGCTTTTGCGGGTCACAGCGCCGCCTGCCCGCGCCACAGTCTGCAGCTCGTCTGAGTGAACAGTTTGAACCATTCCATCTACATTTGACGCAGCAAAGAATCATGAAAGCCATTTAGGGACTAAAAGAGCTGAATCCTTTAAGCTCCATGTGGAGGAAAATGAACGTGTTTCCAGGAGTGAACTGTGGTGAGAGGTCGGAAGTACCTGCCTGGGGGCCTGCGTGTTCTAGAACACGGCTCAGTGGCCTCAGACCTGGGTGCCCCTCGGTGGCGCCGGCCGGGACGCTGCGCGGGGGCGTGGCCGTGCTGCCTGTGCGCAGAGGCCCGGGCGCTGGGGAACCGCGTTACCTAGACAAAGCCGTGGAAGTCACCAAGGCCACCCAAGCTGGACGTCTCCCGCCAGGTCCCGGCCACGTGCTCTCCCAGCCTCTGCTGGAGTCACTCCTGCCGCCGGCACCTGTGGAACACCGACTCTCTCTCACTGCTGGGAGTCCTTGCTCGGCTGGGGTGAAGTCTGCCTCCTCCGAGGCTGTTCGCTGGTTGTTCCTTGAGCCAGCAGTTCTCTTCATAACCGGGCCTCACGGACACCCGGAACCCGGCCACGTTCCCCACGGACATCTCGTGAACGGGCAGAGCCGACCCCAGGAATGCGAACTTTCTCTTTCTGGCATAACCTCCGTGCCCCCAGCATTCTGACTGCCCCTCCATGATTGCCCTCCGGCTTGTCAGCATTCCTTTCAAACTCAGCTCCAGAAACTAAATGGAACACTCCAGACGTCCGGACTGCCACACAGAACAGCAGGCTCCGTAGATTTAGCCCCGAGCAAATGTTTTCAGCAAAGATGAATCGTGTTTTACCGGCAGTTGGTTGACTCCTCAGCGTTGGACTTTGCGTGGGCCCCGGGTCCGGTGCTGCAGCCCACAGAGGCTGCTGCAGACCTCGAAGCTGGTGCCTTTCGTGCTGGTGCCTCTTCGTGGTTTGCAAAGTCAGGAGGCATGGTCCCTGGGTCCTTTATCAAGCCTTTGGAGAGAAGCGAAGGAGAGTGTTTCTGCCCACATACCAGAGGCTCAGATGGTACCAGTCTGCTGCCACGCTCGGGGGTTTAGAAGTTACAGCTCTGTCACTTTGGTGATATCACAGATCCTGAAGTTAAGTGTGAATTGTTTTGAGAAGATGCTAATTTGTTAAAACCTCCTGGCTTTGAATAAGAAGGGTGAGTCGTAATCTTAGAATTTGATGCCCAGCCAAGCAGACTTGAACTGCCTGGAGTGAGAAAGGAGGCTGTGTGCTGTCATCAGAGGATCTGGGCAGGCCACCGGGTGTAGACGAGAGCCTGTTGTGCAGTGAAGTGTAGCCCCCGAGTGAAGCGGGAGGTTGGGGAGACCAGAGGGAAGCGCAAACGAGGAACTGAGCTTCCAGGCTCGAAACACACATCTCTTTTTATGGGGATGGAATGTGCCGGATGCTCCCACCACCACGTGCGGAAGAAAATGAAAGGCCCACCTTCAAAGATGGCAAAACCCAGAGGAAGTCCATTCCAGAGAGAAGGTCCACATGCAGAGTGAAGCCCACTGTTCCCGTGAGCAGATTCATCGTTTCCACAAAAGCTCCCTCCTCCTGTGCGGAAGTCACGTGATCCAGCTGATCAGTACTCGGGTTAGCCTTGTTCCACGTTCCCGACACGGCTGCCACGGTCAGCCCGCCGTCCCGGGAGGTGGCAGCTTTCCGTCAGGCTCACCCCACGGGTCGGGGGGAGGGCTCTGTGCTTCCCACACCCCCACCTGCAGCCGTGGCAGCAGTGACCTCGGAGGCTTTCCGTCTGGACCGACGTGTGACTGTCACTCTTGCAGTTCAGTCTGAGGTCACATCGCGGGGAGGGCCTGAGCGGGGACGTGGTGTGGTGAGGCCATAGCCCACGCATCCAGGAAAGTCACAACTCTCCCAGCACGTGGCCACGCGGGCCTCCGCCTGGACGTGGCAGGTGGCAGGAGGCAATGGGGGTGTCGAGTCCCCTTCAGAGCATCTCTGAACTGACCGATGACCAGGGGTTTAGTAGCAGGGGGAGTTATGGTGGCAGAGTTTGGGCTCTGAGGGTCTGGCTGTCCTGGCCTGCTGGGCTCTGCCTGCACACACGGCCTGGAAACTCTTCTCTGGGATTATTTGCACAACACAGGGTCCTGGGAATGACGAAGATTTAAGCTCAGAGGCTGTGTCCTCCTTAGCCAGATCGTAGGGCTGGGGCCAGACGGCGGAGGGCGGCCAGCGACGGGCCAGGGCTCAAGCTGGCTGCCCAGGGCCAGCCCCGGCTGCCTCCTGCCTCTTGCTCAGACCTCTCTTAGAACGCCGTGACGCCGCCCTCCGGTGACAGGGATGACTTGTGTTTCCCTGCAGGGTTCGTGGGGCCCCGAGGATCCAAAGGCGCAGTAGGCCCCCCTGGCCTGGATGGGGCCGCAGGTCCCTCAGGCCTGCCAGGGCCAGTTGGGCCCCCGGGGGACAGGGGCCTTCCTGGAGAAGTCCTGGGGGCCCAGCCCGGGCCCCGGGGAGACGCTGGACTGCCTGGACACCCTGGACTGAGAGGTCCTCCGGGAGAGAGAGGCCCGCCTGGATTCCGGGGTAAGTCGCCATGGCAGGAGCGGCGGGGCCCAACGCGCTGCACCGCGGCTCCTGAGGGAGGGCCAGAAAGCCCTCCTGAGATCAGGAGAGAACCGCGCGGCACGAGTCCTGCCTCTCCTCCCAGTGCCAGCGTTCCCTCACGGCCAGTTAGGACGGTGACCCCCTGGCCGTGTTTACCCTCCATGGCCAGGGCAGGACGGCCCCTGTAGCTCCTCTCCGAGTGCAAATTAATAACTGACCCGCCTTCTCCCCGAGTTGGCGTGAGTCCACGTGGGGCTCACTGATGCTTCCCCCGTGTGCGCGGCTGGTGTGGAGGAGAGAGGACCTGGCCGTGCTCAGTGAGGGCCTGAGGGGAAGACAGAGACGGTCTGAGGCGCAGCTTAATCCGTGGGGGTGAAGCTGGTGGGTTTAAAAGACGCAGTGTTCACAACGTCACCGACGGACGCTCAGCCGAGCGGGAAGGTGCCCGTTGTTCGGTGAGTGAGTGAGTGAGGCATCCAAGGCTTTGTGTATTCGACACGGGCACTTGGAACCCAGAACACCTGGCTTTAACGAGCTCGCATCACTCAAGCGCAGGCTGGGAGACGGCCGAGCCACCTGGCGTCCCCGTCAGAGACGCACCAGCTGTTACGTGTGGACTGCTGTCGTCAGTCCCAGCCGCCCGGCCCAGGCAGCGGGCTCCTGTGGTGCAGGAAGTGGGCGTCCCTCCCCCGGCTGCCATCAGTCCAGCAGGCGCCCTTCCTGCGAGACCCGAGGGGGACGCAGCCTGGGTCTCGACGGGCAGGGGGACGCCCCACGCTCCGGAGCGGGGGTCTGCGTGTCCCGCCGGTCTCGCCCCCGTGCGATTGTGACGTCCCTGGCCGAGCTCTCTCACAGAAGGGTGCTCAGGGTGGATTCTTTCCTGCGACTTCGAGTCGTGGGAGCACAGAGCGCAGGCAGCGCAGGGCCCCTCCCCGCCCGGGGAGGCTCCCCACCTTCAGAGGTTCAGGCAGAATAGTGGGTTTGGTGAAAACTCCGACTTCCGAAGCACCCGTTTTAAGGAGTTGGTTCCGTGTCTGCACGGCCACGCCTGGCAAGAAGGCGGAAAGACGGGTGTTACTCACTAGCCACTTAACATGCTCGCGAAGAGCGTTTTACAGTGCGGCCAAATGCTCAAAATACAGCATCCAGTGAAAAAATCTTAATTAAAATTGCGCTCCAGGTGAGCCGTCAGTTTGGCAGATACCTATTTCTATGTGTATTTATGTGAACAGGAGAACTGCCGGCAGGAACTATGCTCCGACGTTAGCAACTCTCCGGGTGAGAGTACGAGGCACTTCGATCTCGTCCCCTGCACGTCCTGCCTTTTCCAGGCTTCCTACGGCCCCGAGCGCCTGCTGTCACAGGCCAGGTGTGAGGAGGCAGGCGCTGCAGTGCGCTGCGGGGTGGGCCTCACGGCTCTCGTCTCGATTCCTGCAGGGAGCCAGGGGATGCCGGGGACTCCGGGCCTGAAGGGTCAGCCGGGCTTCCCAGGACCGTCGGGCCAGCCGGGCCTGCCCGGGCCACCAGGACAGCACGGCTTCCCAGGAGCTCCTGGCCGGGAAGGGCCCTTGGGGCCGCCGGGTGCCCCTGGCTTCGGAGGTAAGGACCCACCCCACTGGGGGGCTCTCCGCTGTGCTCCAAGGGCCACAGGGCTTCTGGACACACCACACACGGTGTGGCTTAAACGGCAGAAATTCATTCTCTCGACACATCAAGGTGTGGGCAGGGCTGGTTCTCCTGAGGCCTCTCTCCTCGTCATGACACGGCCGTCTCCTCCGTGTCCTCGCGTGGCCGTCCCTCTGTGTGTGTCTGTGTTCTGATCTCCTCTTCTTATAAAGACCCCTGTCCCGCTGGGTCAGGACCCACTCTCGTGACCTTGTTTAATGAGCTTCAGGCCCTCTTTCAAGGCCCAGCTCCAGGTGCAGTCACACCGCGAGGCCCTGAGCTGGGGGTGTCAGCATGTGCACTCGGCAGCTCACGTCCTGACAGGCTCCAGAGACAAGACATGTATCTCAGCAAACGAGGCGAGTTCAGGCTTTGGTGGTGCCCGCCGGTGCTTCGCTCCTGCTGTATGTGCTGGGCGTCTAGCTAAGATTTCATTAGGAAAAAGGAGAGATTCCCGCTGTAAAAGCTGAGAAGCCTGCTCTGCTTTGAAGAGGTGGCATTGTTCCCTGAAACTGGAAGATGTGGGGAAGAAAAGAGGACGCCTCCTTCAGGAAACCCATGGGGCGAGGTGGGGTGGGGCTGGGGGGGACAGGAAGCACAGGGACGACGCTGTGGTGCTGGCTCGCTGGAGCCCTTGCAGGGAGGACGTCAGGGGTCCAGCTGTCCATCAGGCATCGTCCAGGGGACCCTGGGCTCTCCTTTGCCGTGAGCAGGTGACAGCTTTGTCCGGGACCATAGCCAGTTCACACTAGGGAGCACCGTGCCGCACGTAGATCAGACGTAAGCCAGACGCTCACCCAGGAGTGGCCTCAGCTGTGGTGGCACCAGATCCCCAGGCAACGTGCTACCCACGGGTTTACAGTAACGGGAACCCCGGGCAGGAGGTTGGGGCTTCTGGGTCAGTGCTCAAGGCCTTGCCTGTTCCTGGGCACGGAGCATTAGCTGAACGCGGTGTTGTGTGGTGCATATAGACCCGCGCCAAAGCCCTGCCCTGATGGCGCCCACGTTCAGGTGGGGACAGAATGACCCATGTAAAGGCCTGTGTTTGGCTGCGGCAAGCAGCAGAGTCCGGACCACGGGGCCCCATGTCCCAGAGGGCAGGGGAGCCGGGCAGGCTAGGACAGCCTTGGGAGGAGCAGATGAGGGAAGCCAGGTGTGGGCGATGGGCAGGACTGGAATGAGGGCCTTCCTAGAGGAACAGCCCGAGGAAACTGGCTGGGGGGGAGGTGGGGCCAGTATTCAGAGGGCGAGGAAGCCACTGAGAGGTTTGAACTGGGGCGGGGAGAAGGCTGGAGCTTTGCGGGGGGGCTAGCTGTGGATGCCCTAACGGGTAACGGGCAGGTGCGCGACTCCTCCAGAACTTAGCTCCCGGAGCCAGCGGTGTCAGGAGGGCGGGCGTCCGTGCGGAGCCTCAGCCATCCCAGCGCCAAGCTGTGCGCCTGGGGTTCCAAGGCACGAGGGCCTGAGCGGAGAAAGGCTGTTGGACTCGTGTCCCACAGGCTGGCTGCCGGCTTTCGAGGACAGACCTCTTCAGAAAGGGCAGCCCTGTGGGTCTTCCGCGTGCGCTGCTCACACCGTTAAAACTCACCTCTGTAGTCACACTTTCCGTTGTCCCTCTAAGAGGTTTTTCTTAAAAGCTGTTGTGATCAGTGTCTGTAAAGTACCGTCAGAGGCGCTGTCTCTGGCTGGTTTGTTCATCCTCTTATTTTCCTTCCCTTATTGGCAGGTCTGCCTGGAGACAGAGGGGAACCGGGGGACACAGGCTTCCCTGGCCCTGTGGGCATGAAGGGTGAACCCGGTGACAGAGGTACCCCTGGTCTGCTGGGCCAGAGGGGTCATCCTGGAAACCCTGGATTTAAAGGAATGGCCGGAATGCCTGGTGCCCCCGGACCAAAAGGTGACTACAGAGCAGGACCCCGGAATTTCCCTGTGGGTGCGGCGGGGTGGCCCAGCGGGAGGTGTCACGGGCCCTGGGACACGCTGACGCTGCCCAGGCTGGCTATGACCACTGTGCCCCAAAAGGTCAGTTTATTAGCTGACCACGAGAGACACACTGTCTGAGGAGCAGGACTCACTGTCTGTGAGGGGGAATCCGTGGACAGGCTCCAGGAGACGGGAGTCAGCTCCAGAGGCTGGCAGGTTTACCTGCTCACAGACGCGGCCAGCCTGCCCAGCGCGGGGCCCTGCAGCCCTGGACTGGCTGGAGATGCCGTGCTCTGCTTTTCTGGGGCCCTTTGCCAGATTTCCACGTGGGGTGCAGGGTCAGCACCCCACTAGCTCCCGGTGGCCTCCCCAGCCTGGTGGAGAGACCACAGAACCCGGGGACATCTGG